AGGGAGGCCTGGCGTGCTGTGATTCATGGGGTCGCAAAGAGTTGGACACGACTGAGCGACTGAAGAAAATATATTTTGCAAAGGGCACATGGTGCCACCTAGTGGCTAAGCATACAAATACACAAGCTGGTAAATACTCAGCTTTAGGAATTGAGGTATTATTCACCCAGATACAGACAAACACTGAGCCAGGCTATATAAGTATTCAATAACAATTCAGATATGTCTCCCACTCCCATCCTTGAAGGAACTTACATTCATTTTAAGGAGTTGAGGAAGAAAAGCTAATTTCCAACAGAAAAGTAATAAAGCTGACAGAATGATTTCAGTTCAGTTCAGTTCATTCGCTCAGTCGTGTCCGACTCTTTGCGACCCCATGAATCGCAGCACGCCAGGCCTCCCTGTCCATCACCAACTCCTGGAGTTTACTCAAACTCATGTCCATCGAGTCGGTGATGCCATCCAGCCATCTCATCCTCTGTCGTCCCCTTCTCCTCCTGCCCCCAATCCCTCCCAGCATCAGGGTCTTTTCCAATGAGTCAACTCTTCGCATGAGGTGGCCAAAGTACTGGAGTTTCAGCTTCAGCATCAGTCCTTCCAATGAACACCCAGGACTGATCTCCTGTAGGATGGACTGGTTGGATCTCCTTTACAGACAGAATGATTTAGGCTACCTTAATAGACTGTCTAGGAGATTAACCCTTAATTCTCCCCCCTCCCATTTTTTTCAGAATGTAAATATCTATGATTGTTAAAAATGAATAATTTTAATAATACTTCTTGAAAAGATTCAAATCATAAAGTACTCTGCATATAAGTTAAATAAGCAGGATGACAATATAAAGCCTTGACATACTGCTTTCCCTACTTGGAACCAGTCTGTTGTTCCATGACCAGTTCTAACTGTTGCTTCTTGACCTGCAAACAGATTTCTCAGGAGGCAGGTCAAGGGGTCTGGTATTCCCATCTCTTGAAGAATTTTCCAGTTTGTTGTGACCCACACAGTCAAAGGCTTTGGCATAGTCAATAAAGCAGAAGTAGATGTTTTTCTGGAACTCTCTTGCTTTTTCAGTGATCCAGCGGATGTTGGCAATTTGATCTCTGGTTCCTCTGCCTTTTCTAAATCCAGCTTGAACATCTGGAAGTTCACAGTTTATGTGTACTGTTATACAGAAAGTGTATTAAGAAATTATACAGGAAGAAGTGTATAAACCCTATCATGTATGTCTCCTCATGTCAGCTCCCAGAAGTACCATTGTTAATAGTTTGATACATATATTTCAGTATCTTTTATATATTCCATATATGCCCACCCCCAGCATTCTTCTTAGTGATTTGCCCTTGCTCCTGTCAAAACACTATCGGGTTATTTATTTATCTTTTACTCCAGTTTTTCTCTAAGTTCCTCGAGGGCAAAGACTCAACTCATTTTGTAGCTTCAGCATCTACTGCAGAGCTGGACACACAGGAGAGGTTTCCAGGACCATAAAATGAGAAAGGCTGAGTTGATCCAACCAAGGGCTCAGAAGATCGCTAACATGACTCTGCAGCGAAAACACCAAGCGAGCCTTTGAGATAAAGCCTTTGGGATGGGGAAGGACATGACACGGAAAGGGAAGTATACAGTGTCTTTTCTGGAACTCCTTTCCCTTTCATCTCTAGCATTCAAAAGATGGAATAATCAGCACCATTAGCCCAAATTCTGTGGGGCAGGGGACACAAAGGTGAAGAGGCGAAGTGCTTACCCTTCAGAGGTTCCGAGCCTGTGGCTGGAGTAAGGGAAGATACCACTCTCCCTCTCTCCCTATGGGCTGCCCACGTAAGTGTTTCCTAGCACAAGTAGTTGCTGCTTCCTCCATTTGACTTAGACGGGGGTCAAGTGTCCCTGCCCAAGTCTCAATCTCTTTGAAAATCATAAAGTCCTATATGAGAAAGGGAAAAGCAGACCCTGGCATCCAGGAGCTGGCTTGGTGCTATGAGGGAGATCTTCCTTAGTGTTGCTACATCTGGCCAGGCACTCACAGTTAGGTGTTTTTTCCTCTCCTGCTGAACAAAAACAACTTCACAGAAAATCAACGCCACACAAGCCAACTTTGAGATCATGACGAAGTAAGACAAAGACCAACATAATTATGTCTGAATAAGAGAGAACATGCATGAACATTGTCCAATTACAAAATACCAAACACACCTCTATTTTAGCTAAAATGACTAACCGCTATTTAAAAGCAATTATGATGGAAAAAACACATAAAATTTACTCTTTTAACCATTGCATCTTGAAAAACAGAAACTGTATATCAATTGAACAACTCTTCAATTCTCCCTCCCTGCAGCCCTAGGCAACCATTATTCTATTCTGTTTATATGACTTAGCTTTTTCAGTTACCACATATAAGTGATAAGATGCAATATTTGTCTTTCTCTCTCTGACTCATTTCACTTAGCATAATGCTCTCAAAGTTCTATTCATGTTATCACAAATGGCAGGATTTCCTACTTTCATTTGGCTAAATAATATTTCATAATATATAAATCACATCTTTATCATCCATGCTTAGATGGACACTGAGATCACTTCATGTATTGGCTGTTGTGACTAACATGAGAGTGCAAATATCTCTGTAAGATTCTGATTTCATATCCTTGGGACATATATCCAGAAATGGGATTGCTGCATTATATGGTAGCTCTGTTTTTTAAGTTTTTGAAGAACTTCCATACAGTTTCTGTAGTAGATATATTCATTTATAGTCACACCATCAACACGCAAGGGTTCTCTTTTCTCCACCATCCTCACCAACATGCTACCTACTGTTTTTATTTTTTTAATTGCCATACTAATAAGTGTGAGGTGATATCATGGTTTTGATTTGTATTTCCCTGATGGGTAGTGATATTAAGGATCTTTTTATGTACCTGTGGGCCATTTGTATGTCTTCTTTAGAAAAAAATCTCTTCTCAGTTTCTCTGTCCATTTTCTATTTCTATTTACAGCTGAGTTGTATGAGTTCTTTATATATTTTGGATATTAACTCCTTATCAGATATATGGTTTGAAAATATTTTTTTCCATTCTGTAGGTTGCCTTTTCATTTTGTTGATTGTTTCTTTTGCTATGCAGAAACCTTTTAGTCTGACATAGTCCCACTCATTCCTTCTGGTGTCATGTCCAAAAAGTTGTTGACAAGACTACTGTTTGGTCATGGTACCCTTGCCAAAGATCACTTGAACATATATGTGAGGGTTTATTTCTGGGCTCTTCATTCTGTTCCGTTGGCCCACGTTTCCGTCTTTATGCCAGTACCATGACTGCTATTTCTTGACCAATCATAGGTTTAGCGTCTCTCTAGCCTTCTTCCCCTTGGATAAGATTCAGTAAGACACTGAACCCCAGAATCGCCCCCACTTCCTGACAACATCCAGTCCGGAGCCAAGTCCCGCTACCATAGCCCCTCAGCCCTAACTCATCTAATATAAGCGCAGATCCTGTAATGCGTGCTAAGTCGCTTCAGTTGTGTCTAACTCTTTGCGACCCTATGGACTGTAACCCGCCAGGTTCCTCTGTCCATGGAATTCTCCAGCCAAGAATACTGGAGTGGGTTGCCATGCCCTCCTCCAGGGGATCTTCTGGATCCAAGAGGTTGAACCCAGGTCTCTTAAGTCTCCTGCCTTACATACACACCGAGGAAACCAGATCTGAAAGAGACACGTGTACCCCAATGTTCATCGCAGCACTGTTTATAATAGCCAGGACATGGAAGCAACCTAGATGCCCATCAGCAGATGAATGGATGAGGAAGCTGTGGTACATATACACCATGGAATATTACTCAGCCATTAAAAAGAATTCATTTGAATCAGTTCTAATGAGATGGATGAAACTGGAGCCCATTATACAGAGCGAAGTAAGCCTGAAAGATAAAGACCATTACAGTATACTAACACATATATATGGAATTTAGAAAGATGGTAACAATAACAGAAAACACTAGAAAAAAAAAAAAAAAGTCTCCTGCCTTAGCAGGGGGGGTTCTTTACCACTAGCGCCCCCTGGGAAGTCCAAAATCCTGTAATAGGATCTTCCTAACATTCTCTTCGGAGAAGGCAATGGCAACCCACTCCAGTACTCTTGCCTGGAAAGTGCCATGGACGGAGGAGCCTGGTAGGCTGCAGTCCCTGGGGTCGCGAAGAGTCGGACACAACTGAGCGACGTCACTTTCACTTTTCACTTTCATGCATTGGAGAAGGAAATGGCAACCCACTCCAGTGTTCTTGCCTGAACAATCCCAGGGACGCGGGAGCCTGGTGGGCTGCCGTCTCTGGGGTCGCACAGAGTCGGACATGACTGCAGCGATTTAGCAGCAGCAGCAGCATTCTCTTAAGACCCGCATTTCCCAAAATTCTACAGTTCATGATTGAATAATAAACTCAAATTTAACTACACGTAGATTCTTGGTTATCTTTTTTTTTTTTTTTCTTGGTTATCTTTGGAGTGCACTGATACAGAACCATGGGGTCAATATTTTCAAGTATACAGAATAATATACACCAACAAGAAGTCACATACCAAAAGGGGGGCGGGCAAGAAGAAAAAAAAGGTAAAAAGTAACAAGAGAAGAACTACAAACAAATGGTTTCATACGTACTGAAAAAGTGTTGTATTTCAAAAGCATAAGATTATGGTACTGATTCAGTTGGTGGGACCATCTGAATCCATTTTCTTCTCCTGCAGAAATCCAGAAGAATCTCAACACTAAGAGCCTAAGCATCCCTGTAGGTATTTGCTTTAGGGTTCAGAAGCCGCTGCGAATGGGGTTTTTAGCTCCGCCCAGGCCGAAGTTACGTCACCTTCCCCAGTAAATCCACATTCCCGCGGTCGACGAAATCCTCCAAGGCAGCAGCGGCGCAACTCAGCCCGGCCGGTCTAAAGTAAGGACGTTCTAGCCGATTGCCTACTCGATGGTAGGGCCCGCCGCAGCCCGGCCTCCGGGCGCCGCCATGTTGGAGGCGCAGGATGGTAGCCATGACTGCGAGCACCAGATCCGCAGCCAGAGCCGAGCTCGCTCTGCCAGGCATATGCTGGAGGTGCGTCCGGGGCTGTTCTTGGGTGGAGCCGCGGCCGTCGCGGAGCCAGACCACCTGAGGGAGGCGGGCGTCACGGCAGTGCTGACGGTGGACTCGGAGGAGCCTGACTTCCAAACGGGGACTGGGGTCGAGGGTCTACGGAGTCTCTTCGTGCGAGCGCTGGACAAACCCGAGACCGACCTGCTCAGTCATCTGGACCGCTGTGTGGCCTTCATTGTCCAGGCTCGCGCCGAGGGCCGCGCGGTTCTGGTGCACTGGTGAGTGGTCGGGTGGTGGGGGGAGCGACCCCGCCACGCTTCGACCCTGCCCCACCTCGCCCTTTTTTTCTCAGGGCCCAGGAGAGGACCAGAGGGCTGCCGGACCGCCGGAACCTCCAGCTCCCTCTTGCGTAGGCTTGTGTCAGAGAGAGGAGTGGGCAGGAGACGGTCCCCTGATGACGCGCAGGCTTTTCGTTCATTTTGTTTGTGTTGGTTCATTCTGCAGCCGCTGAGTTTTCGAGGGTAGGAGGAATCTTCAGATAAATGACTAAGTCTCCGCACCTAAAGAGTTTAAATCTCTTCTCGAGTAGCCAGAGACATGCTGAGGAAATGCAGACTTGGATGCGAGGTGTGTAGTAAGAGAGATTAACAGAGGTTAAGGTTATTCAAACTTCAAAGGGAGAGCAGGTTATTTTCATTGTGTTTGTTTGAGGCGGGCGTGGCTGATGTAGGGGAGATTTGGGGAGAGAAAAACTGGTTAGGACTTAGCAGTGGCAGAAGGAGTGTAATTACAACAGTTAGCGCTTACTGAGTCAGCAATTTTACAGCCAGCCTTTGTTATAAATATTACATAAAGAACATAAGGTAGTGATAAAATAGAGGTTTCGGACCAGATCTCCAGGGCCTTTAAAGCCAAGGGGAAAAGAGTTTAGATTTGTTCTGAAGCCATTATAAGATGTTAAAACTTTAGTGTACTTATTGTTCAATAGGTAATACATTCACATGGTTCAGAATTAAAATGAATAAGGAAATAAAGGAATACTTCTTTTGTAAGCAGTAGTATTTCAGAGGCAAAGGATTTACTTGAGTAGAAGAAGCAGACAAGAAGTGGACCCAAACTTTACCATTTATGGGGGTGGGTTTGTTTTTGTAATTGTTGCTATTTGATATTTTAAAGGTTTTTTTTTTTTTTTTTTCCAGTCATGCAGGGGTCAGTCGAAGTGTAACTGTAATAACCGCTTTTATGATGAAGACTGACCAGCTTACCTTTGAAAAAGCCTATGAAAACCTTAAGACTGTCAAGCCAGAGGCCAAGTGAGTTACTTGTTACAGTAGTAATTCTGCTTTTGTGATGCAGTTTTATTTATTTAAAGAAAATTTAACTCTGTACCTGTTTGCCCTTGCAGGATGAATGAGGGGTTTGAGTGGCAACTGAAATTATACCAGGCAATGGGCTGTGAAGTAGATACCTCCAGTGCAGTTTATAAACAATATCGTTTACAAAAGGTTACAGAGAAGTATCCAGGTGAGTAATAATTGGCAGTATGTATTCAGTCCTTTTTGGGCGTCCTTTGTGGCTCAGCCTGGGTAAAGGATCCTCCCACAATTTGGGAGACCCATCCTTGGATTGGGAAGATCCCCTGGAGGAGGTCATGACAACCTACTCCAGTGTTCTTGCTTTCGGAAATCCCATGGACTAAGGAGGTTGGCTTTATTTTAGGGGGCTCCAAAATCACTGCAGATGGTGATTGCAGCCATGAAATTAAAAGACACTTACTCCTTGGAAGGAAAGTTATGACCAACCTAGACAGCATGTGAAAAAGCAGAGACATTACTTTGCCAACAAAGGTCTCTCTAGTCAAGGCTATGGTTTTCCCAGTGGTCAAGTATGGATGTGAGAGTTGGACCATAAAGAAAGCTGAGTGCCGAAGAATTGATGCTTTTGAACTGTGGTGTTGGAGAAGACTCTTGAGAGTCCCTTGGACTGCAAGGAGATCCAGCCAGTCCATCCTAAAGGAGATCAGTCCTGGGTGTTCATTGGGAGGACTGATGCTGAAGCTGAAACTCCAATACTTTGGCCACCTGATTCGAAGAGTTGACTCATTGGAAAAGACCCTGATGCTGGGAGGGATTGGGGGCAGGAGGAGAAGGGGACGACAGAGATGAGATGGCTGGATGGCATCACCGACTCGATGGGCATAAGTTTGAGTAAACTCCGGGAGTTGGTGATAGACAGGGAGGCCTGGCGTGCTGTGATTCATGGGGTCGCAAAGAGTCGGACACAACTGAGCGAATGAACTGAACTGAAGGAGCCTGGCTGGCTATATAGTCCATGGGGCCACAAAGAGTCGGACATGACTGAGCAGCTAAGCACATCTCATTCAGTCCTTTTTAGATGTAGCTTGCTCTGACACCAGATGCTTTAGGTGCGTTATTTCACTTTGGAAACCGGTACTTTTATTTCATTTTGAAACCATGGTTTAGCAGGAAATAGCTTGTTCAGGGTCACATGGTTTGTAAATGGCTGGCTCGAATTTGAAGTCAGGCGGTTTGTGCCTGGAAGCCAAGGGCTGCATCACTGGGCTCTCCTACCTCATCCTCATTTTTCAACAGTGGAGATTTTTAAAAAATTTCTGAGATTAGCATTTTGTTGTTTAGTTGCTAAGTTGTGTCTGAGTCTCTTGTGACCCCATGGACTGGCTCCTCTGTCCATGGGGTTTCCCAGGCAAGAATACTGGAGTGGGTTGCCATTTCCTTCTCCCGGGGATTTTCCCAACCTATGGATTGAACCTGCATCTTCTGTATTGGCATGTGGATTCTTTACCACTGAGCAACTTGCCTTTTGAATTTTGTCTGAAAATGCAGAGTTGATTTTGACAAATGTATACATTTTATGTTATGTAGAATTGCAGAACTTACCTCAAGAACTCTTTGCTGTTGACCCATCTGCCATTTCACAAGGATTGAAAGTTGGAGGTCTCTACAAATGTAGAAAGTGCAGGTAAAATATTTTGTATCCTCTGGAGATTTTACTTTGTCTCAGTAGAATAGTACTGAAGAGTTTCAGTTTCTTAAAATCTTGTAGAAAGAATTTGTTTAATTGAATAATACAGAAATTTCATATTCAGATCTGGTTTCAAGAAGAATATGAATCCTTAAAAGTTATCTGGTTACTTTGTAGAGGTTATCAAAAATTAAAATAGCATAATCAATGTTATATTAATTTGCTCTCTAAGAAATACTGCACATTTAATATATTTTTTCATCCTTTTGGAAATCACTAATGTTTTTGTTTGTTTGGGGGTTGCAGGCGATCTTTATTTAGAAGCTCTAGCATTTTGGATCATAATGAAGGAAGTGGTCCTATAGCCTTTGCCCACAAGAGGATGACACCATCTCCCATGCTCTCCACAGGGAGTCAGGCTCAATGTACATCTTATTTCATTGAACCTGTACAGTGGATGGAATCCACTTTGTTGGGAGTGATGGATGGACAGGTGAGAACACATTTTACTTTCTTTAGTTTTATTATGTCATCTGTATTTTGTTCTTTCTTTCATTTTAAACCATACTTCAACTAGTGTTTTACTCCATCTTAATTGCTTTCTTTCTAAAGCTTATATCTTTGTTGTATAGGCAAGATTCTATCAAAGATAAATTAGTTAAATAAAAACCAGACGATCTAAAATAGTGATCCACTTTTTGGTTGAGAGCTTTTAGTCTCAGTTAATTCCTTTTAAGGCTATTTATATTTTTTCAAGTTAAGACAAGCGAGTATATTTAGCAAAATTTGAGCTTTGTAAGAAGCAGGGCAAATCACATATTTTAAAGTTAGATTTAAAATTTCTTCTTAATCTTTTTTCTCTTTTGGCTCTATGTATCTCTGTTTTCTTGATTCTTTCAGTTTTATATGTTTGTTATGAGATTCTTTTTCATTTCTTACTAATTCTAAAGAATGCAACTCATATGAGCATCCTGTGACAGCTCCAACTCTCTTTTAGGTTTACTTGATGTTAATGTAAAGATACTCTTAATCTAAGATGTAATGATGTTTAAAGATTATCTATGTTTGTATAGTGAGTTTTTACGAAACTCTCACTGTATTTCATTTGAAGAATACAATAATTTTGTAAAATAGAGCAGATATATATTCACATTTCATACACAAGGAAACAATCTACATTAGTTAATGTCTTGCCTAGAGGGGGTACCCTATATTCAAACCCATGTTTTCAGATGCCGCTACTTTATTGAGATATAACTCACCATATGATTCACTCATGGAAAGTGTACAGTTCAGTGGTTTTTTAGTATGTTCACAGGTTTTAGAATCTGTCACCGTTTTTATCACTGCCAAATAAACCTTGTACAGCAGTCACTTCCTACTCTTGATACTATTTGTTGAAGTCCACTTTATCTCTTTTTTCTTTTGTGGCTTACGTTTTGGCCCTGCTGCTTTTATTTATCTTGGCTGCACCTTGTGGCTTGTGGGATCCTGGTTTGCTGACCATGGATTGAACCCTGGCCCTAGGCAGTGGAAGCATGGAGTCTTAACCATTGGATGCCCAGGGAATTCCCTTGCTGCTTTTATTTAATCTGAAAAGCACCCAAGATAAAGGTGTTGTATTTTATTTTTTTGTGAGATATTCTAGATCACATTTGTGCATACTTCTTTGTACATTTATTTTCTTGTAGAATATATACCTAAAAGTGGCATTCCTGGCTTGAAGAGTGTACATTTTAAAATATTACTAATATTCTGGGCTGGCCTTAACAATGCCCACACAAATTTGCCTTTCACTAACGTTGAATGCATGTCCTCATTTCCCCATACGTTTGGCATATAGATATTATAAAATCAGTAAGGTTGTGTCTGTTCGTGAGATGAAAACTGTTAATCCTAAGTTGTCTTAATTTGAATCTCTGACTACTGCTGAGACCAACATCTTTATGTACTTATCAGCCATTTATACTTTATTTTGCAGGAAATTTCCTTCATATCCTTGGCCCATTTCTATGGGTTTTGTCTTTTTCTAAGGAATTTAGGAGCTGTTTATATAGTCTAATGTTTCACGTAATGCAAGTGTTTTCTCCAGTCTGTTGCTTATCTCAGCTTTGAGATACAAAGTTTTTTGTTTGTTTTTTTTCAGTGTATTGAGATATTGATAAACAGCATTGTATAAGTTGAAGGTGTATAGCATAAGTGACCTGACATACATATATTATGAACGTGGTTTTTTTAAGTTATGGTAAAATAGTCATAACATAAATTGACCATTTCTGTTCTTCATGTGTAACTCAGTAGTATTGAGAGCGTTCACATTGTGCGACCATCACCACCACCTTCCCCAGCTGACGTGCCGTACCCGTTAAACACTAATCCGCCACCCCCTTCCCAGTCCCTGCAACCGCTGTTCTGCTCTCTGCTTTTATGAATGTGACTCCTCCAGGTGCCGCATAAATTTGTGGCTGGCTTATTGCACTTGGCATAATATCCCCAAGGTTCATCCATGTTGTAGCATGTGTCAGAGTTTCCTTCCTTTCTAATGCTGAGTAGTGTTCCCTTTTATGTGTATTCCACATTTTGTTCATCTCCTTGTCTGTCCACGGATGTCTGGGCTGCTTCCTCCATTTGGTTATTGGGAATAATGCTGCTGTGAACATGGGTGTACAAATATCTGTTTGGGTCCCTGCTTTTATTTCTTTTGAGTATATACCCAGAATTGGAATTACTGGATCATATAGTAACTATCTTTAATTTTTTTTTGAGGAATGTGGTATATTTTGTCAAACTAAAAACTTTTAGATATTTATGTAATCAATTTTAGTTCTGTGTTTTATGTACAAACTTTCTTTATAGTTGGTTTAAAGGTGAACACATAATGTGTGGATAATGAAAGATTTTTCTGTCTCATCTTGTTTATGATGACAGTGTATTTAAAGTATGGATCAGGTATGCTCATGTTATTGTACTGTTTGCTTAAAATGCTCTAGTCTTAGTACTAGCTAATTAGAAATAAAAATTTAAGTCTTTAGGTAAAAAAAAAAGTCAACATAAATGCCACAGTCATGAAACCTGTTCCATGTCGCAGCCTTCACCTTCCTCCTTTCATTCTGGAATTAAGCTATTCCTCTTCTTCACTCCCAGAGTAAAACATGCTTAGCAATTACTGTCGTCTACTATCTACTATAGTAAATAGTCATTACATTTCACCTCACTGATTAGATCATCAGCTCCTTGAAGGTATGAGCCATGTCTTACTGTTTTATATCCTCTGTTACCAAAGATGAGAATTTGTTTTATATAAAAGTGAAAGAAAAAGTAACAAATGTGTTTTCTTTTAGCTTCTCTGCCCCAAATGCAATGCCAAGTTGGGTTCTTTCAACTGGTATGGTGAACAGTGCTCATGTGGTAGATGGATAACACCTGCTTTTCAAATACATAAAAACAGAGTGGATGAAATGAAAATGCTGCCAGTTTTGGGATCACAAACAAGAAAAATATGAACTTGTTACATTTGATAACTTGCTGATATGGGCTGCTCTTCCTTATTGTCATCCGTGGTAGATTGTATAGTTTTTAGGCCATTAACATATCATTTGCAATGTGAGAAGATAAAATCACTTGATGTTACTCAGAAATTATACATTGTCAGCTTCTTATACTAAGTAGAATACTTTGTATAGAAGTCAGAACTTTTTAATCATGTAAATTATACTTTGATATTAAAATATTCTATAACCTGGATACTTTCTTTATTTCATATATATTAAAATTTGTGATTTTTTCCCCATCTTTTAAAAAATTTTATTTTTTAATTGGAGGAAAATTGCATTACAATCTTGTGTTGGTTTCTACTGTAGAAAAATGCAAATCAGCCATAATTACACATAGGTCACTTCCTTAAAGTTGTGAGTTTGGGAATGTTAGTTATGAATTCTTCAGGTCTAGATGGACAGAATAATGTCCAAAAGTTTAAAACTGTCATACTTAAGCAACATCTTTTTATTTCTAGAAATGTAAAGCAAATTTGCTTGGATGTGTTTTGACATTTTCTTTTAAGGGATATTAGTAAAGCTACGTAAGTCTGGATTTTTCTTGGAAATGTAGAAGGAAAGGACATCAGTAAAATGCTGACTAAAATGTCTTTTTTCTGTTTTTGTTCTGGAATCCCAGTTATCTGAGTTTTTAGAAAAACATGTTTAAGATACTTTTGGAAGTAATCTGCTTAAAGAAATATATTAATGTTAGGTAAGTTTCTAATGATGAAGAAAATTAAATGTGGAGTAACTGCATATCAATCACATTTTTAGCCTGGTGTGTGAGAGTATTGGGAAAGGTAATATGTCCAGATTAGCTTTTTAATGTAATCTCTGGAGACTGGAGTTTATTTTACTCACTGATAATAGTTAGAACTGCACCTGATCAGATGTTTGAACATTTATATGAGATCAGAATTAGCTAGTAAAATAGTCCATGTTCTTAACACATATTGCATATCTTCACATGTGAGTGTATCTATATGTACATAAACACCAACATGGAAGTTACTTTAAATACAAAGAAATGTGAATCACCATCCTCTTTAAAAGGGTGGGACTGTTATAGTTGACTCTTGAGAGCATCTCAGAATAGGACCTGGAGCCTTTGGCAACTTTAATACATTTTTCTTAGGAGAAAAAAATTTCTCTATTTCTGTCTTAGCTTTCGTAATAGCTGTTTACCTCTTTACTTTGTAATGTTTTCCAGAAAGCTTATTAAAAACAATTAGTTTGGACCTTTGCCTCTTTGTAGGTAAAAAGGAGTTGAGTAGCAGCAGTTTCATACTGTTCAAGTTACCTATCCATGACACTGGCATCTGACACAGAAAATTACATAGATTTTACTTTAATTTATAATTGTCAAGTAAATAGTTACTAAGCACCTGTTGTGTGCAATTTGGTGATACATTGGATAAACTAGATAAAACCTCTGCCTTGTAATTTACACTGTTGCCAGGGGAATTGACAAAATAGTATCTTTTTTGAGTGATAATTAATATTTGCCAGTGAGGAATTGTTTTGGGATACATGACTATTTATGTAAATTTTGAAATTTTGTGAAACATCCTCTAAGCAAGATTTTTAGATTTGCAGTCTTTAAGTGTTTTGTTTTTTGCTTTTTTGGCAGGGGGTAGAGATGGATAGAAAATCCATTACGCCTTTGTTCTCAAAAAAGATATCTTTTCAATATTTAGGAATACCAGTGTAAAACATTTGGATTTATACATTTGTTGAAAACAGCAGTATTAACCTTATTTCAGAGGCAGTGTGGTACAGTGAAAACAGTACTGAAGTAGAATTATTAGAGTGGCTCTAATCTGGCTCCACTGATCACCATCTTGTTGGAAGTGAGCAGGTCTTTTGAAAATGGAGTCATTTTTCATCTTCATGAAATGAGATTAATATATTCTCTGCTTTCCTGACAGGGTTGTTTGAAAGGTCATTTGCATTGGCTTTAATTGGTTTTTGCCTAAAATGGAGATAATAGGATCCACATCTGAGTTTTTCCGAGGATTTTTGTGATACAGTGCTGACGAACTTTATATAGGGCCTACCTACTAGCAGTCAACAGTTTCTCTTAAAATAGTTGCAATTAATTGAGTACTTTTGCGCCAGTCACTATCCTAAACACTTAATGTATATTTAATCCTCAAAACAGCTTTGAAATAGACCGTATTCCTATTTTACAGTCAAAATTGAGGCTCAGAAAGATTGTCATTTCCTCAAAGTTACATAGCTAGATTAGAAGTAAGATTTGACTTACTCCAAAATCTGAGCTTTTAACCTCTATTGTTTGAGTTCACTGTTTAGGGTGATATTTGTTTTGAAGATACACTGAAAATATCAATCAGATTGTAAAATATAGTGCTGATGAAATGCAGTTTTTAACTAAGCTGCACATTCACTAGTCAGGCATTCTACCAACACTAGCAGGATTCAGACAATACAAAATTGAAGTTTACATTCTATTTGTCTTAATATTTAGAACTTAAAGCTACTAAGCTATTAAAATGTTTTAATCTCTTACCTTGATAAATACATCTTCATAATGACCTGGAAGACATTTGAATTTAGAATTCTCTGACTGGAGTTTTGTGACAAAATATGGCAATGCAATGAGAGTTGGCTTCTACCCACAGATTGCCCCTCTTTCCCTACCCCTGGATTTGTCCATGGGGAGCCTGTGCATATGTATTATTTGGACTCCTAACCTCACATTTCTAAGCTGTCTATACTCCTGGCATACACTAATGTCATAGTTCTTTAGGAGGCCAGAGGCCTGAGCAAGGCGTGGAGCTATTTGTGTTGTCAGAAGTGTATCTGGAGGGGGATATATGTCCCAGCTGGGCACATCACTTTGGCATCATGGATTCTTAACCTGTGGGAAGAGATACTACCAGATGCCAGAGTAGAGTCCTAGGTATGGATCTAGACATAAAATTTGAAATTTTATTTCTCTGCCAAGGGTTTAGGTTGAAAGCAAATGAATTAAGTTATTTGATAACATTCAACAGGTATGACTTAAAAAGATCTACAAACAGCATATTTCTTAATGAACATTGATGTTTCTTAAAAGTCTCAAAAGATTTTGAAGAAACAAATGAAAAACAAAACCCCCAAACCTATCAAACCTCTAGATATTACAATCAGGAGACTCACCAAGTGAAAAAATTTAAAGGAACAAATGAAGTTTTTGTTTTCTTTTGGCCCTGCACAGTGGAATCTTAGCTACCCAACCAGGGTCTGAACCCAAACAGTGAAAAGTGCTTGGTGGTGAAAATGCAGAGTCTTAACCACTGTACTGCCAGGAGTTCCCCCAAATGAAGACTTAAGAATTCCCCAGATTCTTTTGTTTGCTTGAAAATTTCCATATTAAAGGTTAATTTTAAAATGGTATGCTTCCCCTGTGGCTCAGATGTAAAGAATCTGCCTGCAATGCATGAGACCTGGGTTTGATCCCTGGGTTGGGAAGATCCCCTGGAGAAGGGAAAGGCTACCCACTCCAGTATTCTGGCCTGGAGAATCCATGAACTGTATAGTCCATGGGGTCGCAAAGAATTGGACACAACTGAGTGACTTTCACTTCATCTAAAATGATGATAAATAAAAAATAGATTTTAAAATGTTAAAATAAAAATAAAATGTTAATGTTTACATACAAGAAGTCATTCTACACAGAAAATCCTAGAGGATTTACAGTAAGGAGTTTATAGCTCCGGGTTGAGCATTTGACTGCACATAATTCAGTAAGGTTAGTAAGGTTTTTGAATACAAAATTGCTGTATAAAAGTCAATAGTGGTACTATATGTCAGTAATAACTGAATTTTTTTTTAAAAAAGGATGTGTAAAATGAAACTATAAAAATATGGAAAGAAAAATTCCCTCAGGAGAGGGATGGATTTCTTATGCAATATACAAATAGCAGAGATCATTAACAAAAGATTGATAAATCTGACTACATTGAAATGAAAACCTAGAGGACAAAAATCCCATAAACAAAGACAAATGTCAACCTCAGAGAAAGTATTTGCTACATACATACGGGTTAAATGTACACATCATTGAGAGAAAGAAAATCCAGTAGGAAATTTTATGAAAGATATGAATGGGCAATTCACAGAAGAAATAAAGTTTAATGAATATGAGAAGATGTACCACCTCTTTAATTGTCAGGGAAATTAAATTACAGTCACACCCTTCACAGGCAAAAATAAAAGTCTGATTACATCTAGCGTTGGTGAGAATTCATCACTGCTAATGAGAGTGTAAACTGATATTATTTGGCAAATAGTAGTACTCCTACTTCATAAGCCAGCAAGTACCTTAAAGGACATTCTTGCATATATGCACAAGGATACGCATACGAGGATATATTTTATGTAACAGTAAAATGTTGAAACCATCCAATGTCAGTCACTAGGGAAATGAAAAAATTTATGGAAATCTATATAACAGTTAAAACATACCAAAAAATAATGTTGAATGAGAAAAGTGACTTGGAGAAGACTAGTGCTAATCGTTTATGTAAATTAAAATACCCCAAAACAACACTAAATGTATGTATCTATACACATATTTAAACATGATAAAAATGGACTTTAATGGTTACCATAAAATTCGTAATAGAAGTTGTCTGTGTGGATGAAGGGGAAAGAAGCAGAGGAAAACAACATATCTCAACTTAATCTGCAATGTTTAATTTCTTATGAAAAATCTGAAGTGAAAATGGAAATTGTTTATGTTTGTTTATTCTTGGCAGTAAGCACACACAGTTTGTTTTGTATTATTATTATCTCCACTTGAATAAAAAATTTAAATTAAAAACCGAAAACTTTCTGGAGTTAAGTCACGGCAATTTTCTTAAAAAAAAAAAAAAAGACTAAGGTATGTGGTATATATAGAAGATTCTTGGTGGTTTTATTTTAGTTTTTGTGGCAATTTTTGAATTTGCAGTTGGGTGAGAAAAAAATCTTATAAATTTCACCTGATATGAAAAATGATTAGTTAGCTGATGACAGAAAGACCTTTAATGTAAGATAATTATGTGGGGTTTTTTTTCGGGGTTTGAGTCCCAGGGCGATTCTCTGTGTACCGGATGGTGTAATCCGTAGTAATAATCCAGCCACGAGGAGTTTTGAGGATTCTGGGAAGCGATTGTTTTGTTTAGCAACCGAGGGAAAGATTCCACTTGGTCCTAAAGGTATACGTGTTTTTTCCTTTCTTGTCGTGGTTTTTGCCATACATCGACATGAATCAGCCGTGGGTGAACATGTGGTCCCATCCTGACCCTCCCTCCCACCTCCCTCCCCATCCCATCCCTCTGGGTCTTCCCAGTGCACCAGCCCCGAGCACTTGTCTCCTGCATCGAACTTACGTGTTCTTAAGGTGGAGGTTTTTATTAAATATTCGACGGCTGAAATGCTTTAAAAAGAAATTTTATTAAGCAGCGGTCTTGAAACTCATCAAAGTCAGCTCAGGTTTTCAGTTCGAGTTTGTGACTTTTTTTTTAAACAAAATTGATCCATAAGTTTTAGTAGTAAAAAGACTCGGAATTTACATTATTACAGGTCTTAGGGTAGGGTCTCTAGGACTCGCTCGACTAGGTGCTATGCATTGGAAATGTATGTTTCAGGCGGTGAGCTCATTTTTATGTTTGGAAAGTTCATCTTTTATTTTTATTTCGTTTAAATTTGCTTAAATAAAAGTAGGCTTTCTAGAAGTACGATTCATAGTATTTTTGCTTATCTCAGATACTGTGACAGTAGAGAGGAAGCTCTAACGAATGTGGAAAAGTAGTTGTGTATTTTTCTTTCACACATTTGTGTATATGGAGAATTTTTACATTCATAGTGAGTTATTAAAATTAAAGCAGATTTACTTTCTTAGTCTCTAAATTTTGTTTTGACATATCTCCACCGTGGAATGAAATTCAAGGGGCGATGTTCAGAATGGTTTTTTTCCTCATTTTTTTTCCCCCTCATTTTTCAAAATATTATCAATATATATTATTTAAGCGACGTAGTGTTTGTGTCTTTCTTTTTTCCTTAAAACAGCAGAACAGAAAGTGCCGAAAACTCCAAAAGAGAAAAATACGTGCTCAGCGATTTGTTTAAAACTAGCTCAGGCTCTGACGTCCCTCGTGCGGCAGCGGCAGTTTGTCTCCGCTGGGCCACCGTCGCGTCAGCGTTGCGGAGTATTTTGTCCGCCCGCCGCCGCCGTCCCAGGACTAGTCACCGAGTTACTGGGCAGGGGAACGTGTGTTTCGGGGGAGCCGGCCGGCGCTGCCGGCACCATGGAGTCACCTTTTAGTCCGGGACTCCCTCACCGGCCGGATGAAGACTGGGGTGAGTGGGCTCTGAGACTGTGCCAGGGGTGGCTCCACGTTCCTTCCTCCTACTTCCGCGCCCTCTCGGTGACAGGTGTGGACGAATCCTGTCGGGGAAGCGAGGGTCACTCGTCGCTCCTTCCGTGGTCCTGGTAGAGTATAGCAGAACCTGTCGGTGTCTGTCCTGGCGACAGTGAGTGTAAAATATTGCCTGATTGGAATTACTGTCGCGTTTGGCTGTTTCCTCTGGGAAAGTACCAGGTGATGATTTCGTGCGGCGAGTACGACGTCATTAGGAAGCTTAGGGCAGGGTGGCCGTGCCCACCGAAAAGGCTGCAAGGTTTTTTCTCAGAGTGTGCGATGTGGGCGATGCTTGCCGTGGAATGTTTGTGCGTGTATGTACCCGTTTGGTGTGTCTGACAGAAGGTGAATCCTTTTCTGAGCTTCCATTATTGATCGAGGCTGATGTCCATATTGGCAGAGAAGCAAAGCACCCTAGCACCTGACCTCAGTTTGCTGGTTCATCTACACCTAACGCTTATAAACGGGTGTAATCCTGATTGCTCTCCGGATACAATTCTGAATTTGCTTGTTACGGATATTTTGTTTGGCTTTGTGGCAGGAAGAGTAGGAATGGAATGTAGTCGAAATAAGAGTAGAGAAGCTTTATCATCCAGTGTTTAGAGAAAACCTGTCCTTACCTTATAAGAATAGTAATATTCTTACCTTAACAGAGTAGTGCTTACACTGTTCTTGAGCTTCAGTGTGAATTTGGGGTTGCATACTTCCCTGAATGAGTCCTTTAGCAAACCTACACTATTCATCACCTTTAAAATTTTGGGGAAACACAGACTGACCTTCATCTTTTCATTGGACCATCATTGTCAGTAGCAAGAGTGTAATTTCAGTTCGCTTTGTTGAACTGTAGTTTTCATTTGATTTTCCAAGGGCAGAACTTCTGTTAAATTATATACTGTTAGAGATTTATTTCAATCCTTGGGTAGATTTTCTGAGGTGTTGGAAAAACTAGACTGTCTCTTATAAGAGTGTACTTGTGGTGTAAGTAGTATAAGCCTAGTATATTCTTATACAGTATAAGCCTACTGTATTTGGCTTGGTAAAACATACTTGGCTTTGGAAAATATATTCCTATTACAGTAGGAACAATTGTCATTTATTAAACATTTTGTGTGAGGTGCTCTGCTAAGCTCTTAGATGCACAGATGAGGAAACTGAAGCTGAGAGAAAATGAATGCTCAGTCTTATAGCTAGTGAGTGTCAGAAGCAGGATAAGAATCACGTTTGTCTGCCTCCAAAGCCTGTTAATTTAGTCACTATTTTATATTGCTTTCCTAAATTATTTCTACAGATTTGATTCTTACCAAGATACCCCCAGTTATTAATGAGTCTAGTATATTGGGTAGTTAGGATCTGTTTTCTCAGCTAGTCAACTGTTACATGTTCATGATGTTTCTTAAAGTCTAACTGTGGGATACTTCCTGATAGCATTATTACGTCTTCTGATACTCAGGCTGTATTTTCTTGACTAATCTTATCTGTTGACTCCTACTCTTAATGTTCCTTAACAGATCATTCAGTTCTTTGTAGTCAGCTCACTGACTCAGCTCGGGTATCTTGCCCTGCCCCTTCCTGAATATGCCCATTTCCCATGGTTTTCCAGGCTTCTTTTTTGACACTGTTAAATCTTCTCCTAATAGAACATTTTACTTCTGATTCCTCAGGTGTTCAGTAAGTAGGATAGGTTTTGCAGGCGCTGGAGTGAAAGGTTACTTTCTGCCAGCATTTCTCAGTAGAATGTGGGTTCTTTTTCTGGGAGTTGCCATTTTGGGTGTTCAGGTACTTCACTGATTTGATTTTTTTTTTCTGTATTACAAGCTGGCCAGTTAAAATTTTAAAATCAGATCATGTAATTAGAACTTGTGATTCTAACAACTTTGAATAATTAAAAATGGCTTACTCAGAACAGCCTTTGACAAGATGTGCATATTCCTTTTATGTTGGGTAATGAACTTTAGAGAGGCCCTGTGAATGTTTTCTGTAAAGATCCAGATAGTGAATATTTTGGGCTTCTGTGGTCATGTGGTCTCTGTTCCAGCTGCTCAGCTCTGCCAGCGGTAGTATGAAAGCCGCCATGGACAGTATAAACAGCATGGCCCTGTTCCAGATCAGCTTTATTTATGGATGCTGAAATTCTGTTTCAGTGTAATTATTTTTAAATACTTGATAGAGCTTATTTTTAGTACAGTTCTAGACTTACAGAATAATTGAGGGGTTAGTACAGAGTTTCCCCACCCCCCAAGTTTCCCTTATTGGTAGCATCTTGCATTGATGGAATAAATTTGTTACAGTTCATGGGCCAGTATTGATACATTATCATTAACTAAAGTCCATAGTTTATAATAAGATTCACTCTGTTCCTTCTGTGTTGTTTTTTGTTGCTTTTCAGTCTCTAAGTCATATCCAACTCTTTGCAACACCATGGACTATAGCATGCCAGATTCCTCTGTCCTGCACTGTCTCTGAGTTTGCTCAGATTCATGTCCATTGAGTCACTGATGCGATCTAACTGTCTCATGCTCTGCTACCCGCTTCTCCTTTTGCCTTCAATCTTTCCAGGCATCAGGGTCTTTTCCAGTGACTTGGCTTTTCACATCAGGTGGCCAAAATATTGGAGTTTCAGCTTCAGCGGCAGCCCTTGCAATGAATATTCAGGGTTCATTTCCTTTAGGATTGACTGGTTTGATCTCCTTGCAGTCCAAGGGACTCTCAAGAGTCTTCTCCAGCACCATAATTCAAAATCATCAATTTTTTTGGTGCTTAGCCTTCTTTATGATCCACCTCACACATCCATATGTGACTGCTGGAAAAACCATAGCTTTGACTATATGGATTTTTGTTGGCAAAGTGATGTCTCTGCTTTTTAATATATTGTCTTGGTTGTTACAGGTTTCCTTCCAAGAAACAAGCGCCTCTTAATTTCATGGCTGTAGTCACCATCTGTAGTGATTTTGGAGCCCAAGAAAAGGAAATCTATCATTGCTTCCTCTTTATTCCCTTCTGTTTGCCATGAAGTGGTGGGATCGGATGCCATGATCTTAGTTTTTTTAATGTTGAGTTTCAAGCCAGCTTTTTCATTCTCCTCTTTCATCCTTATCAAGAGACTCTTCAGTTCTCCTTCACTTTCTGCCATAGGTATCATCTGCATATCTGAGGTTGTTGATATTTTTCCTGGGAATCTTGATTCCAACTTGTGATTCATCCAGCCTGGCGTTTCCCATGATGTACTCTGCATAGAAGTTAAATAAGTAGAATGACAATATACAGCCTTACACTCCTTTCCCAATTTTGAACGAGTTGGTTGTTCCATGTCCAGTTATAACTGTTGCATCTTGACCTATATACAGATTTCTCAGGAGACAGGTTAGGTGGGCTGGTATTCCTATCTCCTTAAGAATTTTCCACAGTTGTGATCCACACAGTCAAAGGCTTTCGCATAGTCAATGAAGCAGATTTTTTTCTGAAATTCCCTTGCTTTCTCCATGTTCATTCTGTGGGTTTTGACAAATGCATAATGTCAGTATCTACCATTATAGTATCATATGAAGTAGTTATGCTGCCCTAAAAAATTCCCTGTGCACCACTTATTGTCTCTGCCTCCTTCCTCCAAAGCCCTCTACAACCACTGATCTTTCCACTGTCTCCTAGTTTTGCCTTTTTCACAATGTCATATTACTGGAATGACGCAGTATGTAGCATTCTCAAATTGACTTCTTCATTTAGCAAAATGCGTTAAAGATCCCTCTGTCTTTTAGTGGCCTGATAGCTCATTTCTTTTCAGCACTGAATAGTATTCCATTATATGGATGTACCACAGTGTCTTTTGAGCTCCCATAACAAAATACCTAGGTAGCTTAAACAATAGAAATTTATTTTCTGACAGCTCTGGAGGCTGGAAGTCCAACTTCAGGTGACAGCGTGGTCAGGTTCTGGTGAGACCTCTCTTCCTGACTTCCAGCCAGCCATCTTTTTGCTGTGTCCTCACAAGGCAGAGGGGTGGAAGGGGAAGGAAGGAGGGAAGGAGAGAGGTAGGTAGGTAGATAGATCTAGCTCTTAGTTTTATGAGGCCACAATTCTAGCAGATTAGGGCCCCACACTTGTAACCCCATGTAAGCTTGATTACCTCCTAAATACCATCCTACCTCTGGATGCAGTCATACTGGGGACTTCAGCTTCTAGATTTTGGGGGGACACGATTTGGCTCAAGGCACACAGTTTGTTTATCCATTTACCTGCTGAAAAATAGTTTGGTTGCTTTCAAATGTTGGCAATTATATATAAAATGTGCAGCTTTTTTTTTTTTTTTGCTGTGCCATGGAGCTTGTGGGACCTCAGTTCCCTCACTAGGAATTTAACCCAGGCCATGGCTATGAAAGTGCCGATTCCTAACCACCAGGCCAGGCAGCTCCCATACACAGCTTTTTATGTGGACATACATTTTCATATCATTTGGATAAATACCAAGGAGCATGATTACTGGATCACACAGTTAAGAGTATGTCCAGTTTTGTAAGAAACTTTTCAACCTGTCTTCCACAGTGGTTAGGCCATCTTGCATTCCTCCCAGTAGGGAATGGATATTCCTGTTTCTCTGATCCTTGCAGACACTTGGTTGTTCCCAGCGTTTCAGATTTTAGCTATTCTAATAGATGTGTAGTGGTATCTCATTATTTTAGTTTGTAGTTCCCCGATAACGTGTGATGTGGAGCATCTTTTCATAAATTGTGTTTGTCGTTTGTATATCTTTCCTCTCCTCTTTCCTTCCTGCCTCTCTTACTCTCTCCTCCTTTTTCTTACATTTGCTCAAAAGCCACTTTTTTTTTTTTTTGACCACATGTAAGATATATGTACCAAGATCAGAAGCTTTGTTCTGCCACTGTGGTTTCTTTGATAACTTCAGTGTCTTCTGTGAAAGTTCTCTTTGCCTTACTGTGTTGACCA